GAATGTTGTCTAGAACCTGCCCATGAGACAAAACTGTAACTATATTTTTTTTTTGTTATACACTCAAACAACAAATTACAATCATATGTCTGTTTACAACATATCAGTTACATTAATTAATATCCAACTTTAATCGAAATAGCTGACATGAACGATTATCAATTTCTAAGAAAAGAGTGAACAGAATAAATAACAATTTGGTAGAAAAACGATTACTCATCTCAACTATTATTAATTAGGGTTTGTCGTTTGATAAAAATAATCTGATTGGTATATCTGAAAAGATAAGAACATGTGATTGATGTTATTTGTATCATATAACTAAATACAAAAATAAAAATACACTGAAGGATTATTTACCGAACGATTATAGACATGATTCACTACTTTTGCTTATCTTATTGGTTAACATTCACGACCAACAAAATAGATTGTTGGTAAGAGTCTATCACCCGGTAATTAAGCGCTTACCAGGTAAGAGTTATCACCCTCACCTATCGGGTAAGACTCTTGATATTTGTCTTACCGAATAAGATTCTCGGTCATTGCTATGCTCAACCGGTAAAGAAATTGACCCGATAAACATCTACCCAGTAAGTGTTTAGTAAACGACCTCTATTATCTTTATTTATCACTTTCTTTTTTCTTTTTCGTTTCTTTTTTGATTAACTTGGATATCCAACCCGTTATGTGAGCGGACCCATCCCAGGGTGACCACCTGCTTTGCAGATAGCCTGGAGTCACCACATTTGAACCTCTGTGGCCACACGGGGATTTTTATTCCTCCTTAAATTTGAACCTGAGACCTCTGGTACTTTTGATCTTTAGAGCCAAGCTCAAACTAATAAGACATACCTTGTGGTTTATTTATCATTTTGTTTATACCAAGTTTGTAGTAGTTTGTGAATAAATATGATAGCTCAAATAATGAACACATGTCAAAGAGCTACTTGTTCCCATTGAAACTTTATGGGGAAGATTCTCAAAAAAGTCCAAAGATGTGGTGTCAAAATTGAAAATATTATTGAAAAAAAAAAAAGTCAAAGTAAAGTGTAGAGTTAAAATGTTAAAATTGAAAGGAATATAAATAGAAAAGAAATGCGTAGGTGTTTAGGTTTTAAATTGCTTGTAAGTGATATAAGTTAAGCAAATTCTTAACCACCCTATCTATTCTTAACTCCTCTATATATGAATGCATCTCTTGGATACTCCTTCAAGTTTCTTATGTCAAACTATTGCCTTTGTCAACCCTCTCTTTGTCATCCTCTTTATTATTAATTTTTCCATTTATATATATATATATATATATATATATACATACATGTATTTCTTCAGTATTCATTACGAAAAAACACATAACTTTTCATCTTGATATGTATATATATATATATATATATACATAATACAGTTTATGATGTTGTGTAGAAGTTCTAATTGATCAGGGTGCATAATGTTCTGTCATTTTTAACGTTATGATAATATGAAAAAATATAAGAGAAATGAAATAGACGATGAACTTGTGACTAACTACTAAATCTTAAAATAAAACCATAAATATTAATATTGTAAGTAAAAGTAATGAAAAATGATTTTTACACACACATATATATATATATATATATATATATATATAATAACCAAAGTTTGTTTTGAAAAGTGGTGAATATAATTGAGAAGTAAAAAACTGATCTAACTCTTTATGTGGTCAAGATTGGATTTGACTGGTCAAAAATTGTGGCTATGTGAAAAATAGAGGGTGTAGTTTCGTAACATTTACAAATAAACGGCAAACGGGTTTATATGTGAACCTATGTGATTCACATATGAACTATATGTTTACATGTGACCCCATGTAATTCACATATGAACTATTTTAATTGATTCACATATGAACTAATTAACTGATTCACATATGGACTAATTAATTGATTCATATATGAAACTGTGTGATTCACATATAAACTAATTAACTGATTCATATATTAACATATAGTTTATAAGTAAATCTCATGGGTTCACATATGAACCCGTTTGCCGCCTATTTGTAAAAGTTACGAAACCACCCTTCTATCTTTTGCATACAAATGAGAAATTATTTGGTGCTTCACGGTCAAAGCCACAAATGTTAACCAGATAAAGGCTAGGGTCACAACTTTTACTTCTCAAATATTTACCACTTTCAAATAAATATTTTCATATATATATATATATATATATATATATATATAATCGATTTAAAAAAGTTATTATGAGATGAGGTTGGGTTCCGGTGAAAAGGATAGTTAAGATGAAAAGCGTAAGAAAATTATCTTCATCCTCGGATACACATTAAGATGAGATGCATCAAATCAATCTCCATATCAAACGTGATTCATAGATAAATTTAGGATTAAAGGTAATCAAAAATTTAATCTTTTTTATATATTTTTCATCTTAACTCTCATTTTTACACCATCTTCCGAGATAAAAGTATGGAACCCATGTCTCAAAAATGCTAATATTGTAAGAATACCATTTGTTCACGTTTTTAACTTACACTTCAAGTGGCCCCCACATTCTCCTCTAGAATCTTTATATATATCCCTCATCTAAACAAGCCTTACAACCACCCACACACACACACACACACACACACATATATATATATATATATATATATCAATTCTACTTGTTTTCTTATTTGAAATGGACCACTTATTTAGTTAATTTGAATAGAATTCGTTAAAGAAAAATATTAATGTAAGTGCCACAATTATTAAAATACAAATATATAATCAATAAATCTGTTTATTGAAATATATAATTAAAACTAAATCATAATTCCTAAACACATTCAAATACCATTTGAAATGCATATTCTAAAATGCCATTGAAACAAAATCATACGCTTGCTCTAAAAAACGTTCAAAATACATAATATAAAACATTTACTTTATTTTATAAATTTGGTTTCATAATATACAATAATAATCTATACTATATTATAAAGTATTTGATAAAAATTCTTAAAAACTATTTTTTATACATAAAATACTATTTATTGATGCATATTACTTAAAATTCAAGATTACAAGTAAATAATGCATGAATACAACTTATTAAAGTTTCATACTTGAATTCGTGTAACTAACTGCAGATAAACATAATCAAATACTGAATAAATATTTCATTTCAAATATAACAGAATATTTAATTATTATCTTTATAAGAATTCTATTATTAAATCAAAAATAAATTACCTCTTTATCAAACCTAATTAAATTATAATAAACAAAATTGAATTAAAGAAATTACACAACAAAACAACAACTTTTAAATAGTTAATTTTATCGATATATTTTTTTATAAAATTCTGAGATATCTTTAAATTTATATTTTATTCAAAAATAAAAACATTATCGTTTTTTCCAAAACCATATTAATATATTATAGCATCGATAAGAGACAAAATAAAACAAAATATTAAAATCGAAAGGATCTCGTTACATTGCACAAATATCTTCTAATAATAATAAAATAGACAACGTGAATGAGTTGCCGTATGATAAAAATGTGGGGTTAGTTGGTGGCAACGACATGGAAAATGATAGTCTAAAGTGACCACATCAAGAAAGATGTTTCTGGTGTCATGGACACCAATTTAACCATAAGAAAACATCGTAGTTGTTTGCCACATCATCATTTTTATTTATTATTTTCATTAATTTTTTATATACTATTATTTTATATAATTAATAAATAAAAACTTGGTGTCCGACTTTGATCAGTTTGGACATTGACCAACATGCATTGTTGTTAAAAGAGGTTACACGTGTAATTAACACATAAAAAGACGTTATTTTGATAATATTTATGTAATCAAAAAATAATATAAATTCATATATTATATATATAAAGGTTACATAAATGGACAATTGTCTTGTTCCTTTTGTTCTATATTTAAATGGTTATTTATTATATTTAAAATGGGATTTAATATATTTAATAAATTATTGTGTTGAAGTTTGTCGGCATTGATCCCGTAATTATTAGTCTACAAACTCTACCATAAAACCTGTATTTCATTTTCGATCTTGCTTGTAAAACAAGCATTGACCACAAAATATAAAATACTTTTATTTGTTACTAAATTACAATAAAAATTATATTTTTGTTTTTAGTGACACAAATATATTATTATAATAATATAATATAAAATAAAATAAAAAATAGTTTAATAAGGTTAAGAGGCTCACAACTTATTCGCTCAGCTATAAATGAATGTTCGTTTGTGATTTAATGATCTTATCTAATAAGCTTCTAGGGAGAAATTTTATGTAGAAAACCAAGTTTTTTTCAACCCGTCTCTCAGTTAAAAAAACATGTAATTAAGCCAAGGCCAAAAGATAAAATTATTGATAACATGAAGAAACCAACTTATCTTCCTGAAATATGTCGAAAGAAAAAAAACGTTACCAAAGAAAAATTATCTTGTACATTTCAACAAAATGAAGTTGAAAAACAACAACATTGATAATATCTTTTAAATCGATTTTTATTAACAATACAAAATCACTAACAACCCGTTAAACGAGTTATAAAACCCTTATAATTCATACGGAAATCGATAAAATAAACTTTAAGAACTAGATTAACTAGTAAATAAAAGTTAAGTTTAATTAGCTAGGGGCTCTTTCTCGTGTATATAGATCGCTAGTTCGATGCTTTTGAGGGTCAATTTTTGACGAGGATCGAATGATTGTTCATGTGCCATTATCTGCGGAGGCTCAATCAGAGCCACGTTTACTTACATTTTCTAATATGATTTTTTTCCTTACGGTTATTTTATTCTGGAGCAACGTCTATATGATTAGTCTAAGTGTGTAAAATGATCCGAACACTTACAGTTATTAGAAAAGCGAATGAAATAACATAAAAATTGTGCAGTAACTTATTTTACAAGTAAACTCCATATTTGATTATAACATTTATCGAAAAAAAACCTCGTTACATATGGTCATTGGCTTTCTATTCACGTAATGCATTAAAATACACCAAAAATAAAAATAAAAAATGACATGCATGCATGGCCATGCATGAAACAGCGTCCCCATATCATACAACCCGCAATGCACATTCAAGACCTAGTTTTTCTATTAACGTACAACTTTCGATGCACTTCCAAATTTCAACATATTTCTTTCAAATTATAGTCCAAGAAAGAATCTTCCAACAGAAAATCAGGCCAGTTGAATAAAGAATCTCCTCCTTCGCCGCCACCTCCGCCACTGCCACCACCATAGCTGATGGTGCTGCTGTTCTCCTGTGAGTTGCTGCCTGAAGTAGTACTGTCCATCAATGGCGGAAGAGGATTCCACGTGGAAGATGCTGATTTGTCACTCATCTGTCCCATCTGGCACTGACCCACAACTTCATGATGATCACTTGTTTTTACATTCATGAAAGGGACGATGACTTGTTGTTGGAGTGGTTGAGAACCCCCATCACCAATAGAAGCATTTTCAACAGGAAAAAAATTGGACATTTCTACCCTTTCTTGACCTAATTCTTGTTGGAAATTATTTGAAAAATATGGGTTTGGTTCTTGATTTGCAGGCATCAAATTCATCGCGTTTAATTCCAGATTATTAGCGGCGATAGCGGGTTGTTGGAAAAGGTTGAAGCATTGAAGGTTATGAGTTAATTGAGTATGTTCAAGCAGTTCTTTTAGGTTTGCTAGAGCAATTAGTTGTGGCAAGCAAGAAAACAAGTCGGTTTTTGGTTGATGGGTAATTGGGTCAATTCCCATCTGGATGAGCCTTTTTTTCAGATGGGTATTCCAGTAATTCTTGATCTCGTTATCTGTACGTCCTGGTAGATGTGCTGCAATTGCAGACCACCTTTGCGAAAACAAGAAAAAAACATACAAAAAAATTAATAAGAATTGATGTCAGTATATTTTTAATCTTAGACATTTGCAAGCTTCATTCATTCAGTATGTTTTTCTGTTCAATCTTGAAAAAACGTACTGAATGAATGAAACCCTTATTTGATTTTCTTGGAAACTAAAAGTTATAACGAATTACTTGTTTCCAAGAACGGAGTGAAGATGAAGAATAGTGCTCTCTTCCTCCTCGGAGAATTTTCCTCTCTTAATATCAGGTCTCAAATAATTCGTCCATCTCAATCTGCAGCTCTTCCCACATCTTTTCAGACCTGCAAATCAAGAGTCCGATTCACAAACAGTCGTCTAATACATCACATCTTACACGTTTATTCTTATGACAAAATCGATTATCACCAAATCCAACGTCTAAAAGAGTTCTTAACACGTTTGCGATATTAACACAAAACCGTTATATACAACTCTATCACAAAATCTATCGGAAACCGAAGAATCATGAATCTAATTACCTGCAAGCTTAGGGAGAGCTCTCCAACTTCCATGGCCATGTTTTTGAATGTAATCAGTAAGCCTTTGATCTTCTTCAGGAGTCCAAGGACCCTTTTTGAGGTTGTTTTCATCACAACAAGGAGACCTTCCCATTTCTTTCGAATATTTGGTTTCTTGTGATAGAAAAATAGAAGAAGGTGATTTGGTATATATATACATCACCTTTGCTTATCTACTCTTTCCACATAATTTACAATAATAAAATTTATAACTGTTTTTATATTAAATATTTTAAATTATTTATAAAACATCCGTATTTTTTGTTCAAAAATAAAGAACACCAAAATAAACAATTTCAGTAGACATTCTTTTTAAAAGATTGTTGTAATTAAGGGGTCAATTTATGATCATTATGTAAAAATGGATTTATTGTTACATCAATAGGTAAATTTTAAAACTTTGCTAATTCTTAAAATGGGTAAATTGCATGAAAAAGTAACGTATTTTAATTTGATTCCTATTTTGGGTAACGTACTTTCAAAACTTCCATTTTGGTACCTAAGATGTAAAGTTTTAAACATTTAAGTACCTAGGTAACTGGTTGAAGTATTAACCGGTTATCATACTGATGTGGTATCAAACTCGGTATTGTTTGTTGACCTAGTCAGTGACGTGAATTTTTTTTAATCTAAAATTAGTCTTTTTTTTAGTATAAAATTAGTCTTCACTGGGTTACCCGGGTACTTAAATGTTTAAAACTTTACATCTTAGGTACCAAAATGGAAGTTTTGAAAGTACGTTACCCAAAATAGGAATCAAGTTAAAGTACGTTACTTTTTTATGCAATTGCCCTTTCTAAAATTAAGTCGACAAAAATATACAAGATTATAATATTAAAGAATTAAGACGATGTCAGATAATTATACATTAGCTTGTTTATTAGACTTAATAAAAAAGTTCCATTTTAGTTACTTATGAATTAAAAGTTACTAGAAGGATGCTCACGTAATGCAGTGAGATACATCTTGATTTTAATGTTTCGTTTTATTATGTCCCTTGTCGATGTTGTAATACGGTTTTATGTGGTTTTGAGAAAAACGATAATGTTTTATTTTTGAATAAAGTATAAATTTGAAGATGTCATAAATTAAAAAAATATCGATATTATTATCAAATTAATTATTTAAAAGTTATTTTTTTGTGTAATTTCTTTAATTCAATTTTTTTATTATAATTTAATTTAGATTTAATAACGAAGTAATTTATTTTTGATTTAATAATATAACTTTTTGTAAATATAATAATTAAGTATTCGTTAGAACACAATGATTATCTTAATTATATTTTAATTTTTTTGTATTTAAAATAAAATGTTTATTTTATATTTGATTATATTTATCTGATGTTAGTTACACGAATTCAAGCATTGAGCTTTAATAAGTTATATTTATGCATTATTTTTTTTAATCTTGAATGTTAAGTAATATGTATCAATAAATAATATTTCATGTGACATGTATAAAAAAATAGTTTTTAAGAGTTTTTATCAAATGTTTTATAATATAGTATAGATTAAGTCAAAAGTTAATTTATCACCCATGCAAAACTTATCATGAATAACTTTACTTAAAATAAAATTTAGGATTATTATTATCATGTATAATTTTACAATCATATTTAATATATCTTAAAATTTATAAAACTAAAATAATCAACAAAAAAAAAAGTGTTGACGTGCCAAATTTGACAAATGGTTGATATATTTATTGTTTACGAATTTTTCTCTTTAATATTTGTTACAATTGTGACCCTTGAGTTATAGTTAGATTCCAAAACTGGTCCTTGGATCACAATTATTTTTCAATTTGGTCCCTGTTTTGAGTTGGGTTTTCCACGACTATGATCCGTTTGTCAAAATGGGTTGTTGAAAATAGTCAAGTACTAGGTAAGTAATAAGTTATTAAGGGTAATTTTGTTGATCAATTGTCCCCAACTTTATACTACGCTTTTTATAAAATATTTAAAACATTTATTAATATTAAATTATTAATATATTATTATACTTTTTACCGAAAGTAAAATACCAATATGAATTGATATTAAAGGGTTCAGTAATATGTCCATACAAGTTTTCTTCTCTTTAGCTGAATTGATGATTAAAAAACTATAAATTGATTATAAGTCATTATTAAGTTAGAGTTAAAAAGTCCTAGGAGAAATAAAAAATTCCCTTGTAGCTACATAAGTTCAAATGCGATGACTTTGAGCTATCTGCAAAACGAGTGATCGTTCTGAGATTAGTCGACTTGCATAGCGGGTTAAATATTTAGGTTAATTTAAAAAAAGTTGGAGTTAAAACTAAGTCGGTAGAGATGTTTGATAAACAACTTTTCATGTATGATGTATAAGTCAAAAGAAAAAGTAATCAATAGAAACACATGATAGATTGTAAAAAGAGTCTTCTAAAAGATAAGGTCAACTCCGAAAATGAGTTGTTTATCTTGACCACGAAAAATCCCCTAATCAATTTGGGCTATAGTTTTACACAGATTGATGAAAACGCCCTAAACATATGTAGGATTGGGCCCCAAATTTTTGGAGGCCTTGTTCAAAATCTCAGATTTAACATGCTAAGAGACAACCCTGGCTCCGATTAAACCTATGAGTGGTGTCAAGACCTACAATTCAAGGGGCCGCTATAGAAGCAACCAACGCTTCTTTGATCATAGGAAAAGTTGATATGATGAACAACTACGAATGACTGCTTTATAAATGAGACATATGTACAACGTTTCTTTTAAAATGAGCATATTTTGGTCCAAGATTGGTTTCATCGATCGATCCTATACTAGTCCTAATAGATTTTAGTTTCAATTAGGTCAACGGTTTGTTTTGATATTGATTTTTTTTATAAATACTTGGTTAGGATCAAGATAAGTTTATGGGTTAAGTAATTACGATACTTTTACTAATATTAAATATATCAAAGTTAAAAATTTCAATAGTTGTTGATTGATACCAATATGTTACTCATATGTTATTAGGAAACCTTTCTTTTAAGAATTCCCTAATTTCATGAGATCTTGATCATAAAAATCTAGTTAAAAAGTAAAATCTATTTTAATTTAAAAAACAATTATATATGGACATAAAGTAAACATATTGTGAACAATTTTTTTTAGAAATATTGTTTTAATTTGTGAGCACACTTTAAATCTATGAACTGTAGTAGAGCTTGTGAACATATTGTGAGCACGAACTAAAACAATAAAACTAAATATAAACTTAATCATTAAGGTTGTTGTCCTTGTGTTCACGATATGTTCCCCTTGTGTACATATTTAATTGTGAATGTATGTGCGTATATGTTACAGGAGGGAGGATATCTATATATCTATATCTATATATATATATGTCTGTATATGTATATGTGTATATATATATATATATGTGTGTGTGTGTGTGGGGTTAAGTTTAGGGGAAAACCACAAAAAATGAAGAATTAAGGAACACTCTGGTAACTGTTTATCTGGATGGTATGCACATGTGCATATAAGTGATTTATAACATGCACACGTGCATAAAAACAAAACAAAAACTTTAATTACTTGTATGCACATGTGCATACCGTCCAAATGAACGATTATCAAGATGTTCCTCATTTTTTTCATTTTTTTGGGGTATTCCCCTGAACATACATACATACATACATACATACATACATACATACATACATACATATATATATATATATATATATATATATATATATACAGTTATACACACACACACATACATACTCATGGATCTCACAAATTGTGAAGTTTTTAAATGATTAAGCCTCATATTACCAAAACATTAGTTAGATGAATTTTAAGTAGTAGTTATTAAACACCAAATTAAACAAGTTAAATATTATACAAAAATTATTACAGAAAACAAACTAAACATCATCTAAAATTAATGAGTTATTCAAGATCAAACAAAATAAGTAAATAATAACAATATATCTCGTGATTGACAAAGTTTACAAGAGATATAACTAAAACGTCTAAAAAGACCATCCATGATGTAACTATCAGACGTGTCAGTTACTTTAAATCCGGCCAAAATCCGTTTAAAAAGGGATAAAATGACCATTGTACCTTCTAATTCACTCCACCCTACCTCTGTCGTTCCTCTTCCCATCGCCCCTACTAACTAAGCCCATTCTACTCCTCGTTGCATCATTGCCCCTTCCTCTCCCCATTGCTGCCTCATCACATCGTCGCCACTTCCCCCTATCTTGCAATTCTCATGGGGCAATCCCAGGTGCTTTTGAATTGCCGATGACAACTTAATCCGTCCCCCTTTTCAGTTCCAGTCACCAATACCCACTCTCTTTTTCCTCAATTCAATGATTTGCTTATTTTCTTACCATCAAAATTTAGGTTTTTTACGGTATGACCATAAAAAATGTATATAAATAAAGAGTATTTTAGATATTTTAGGAAATTTTGTCCGATTTTGAAGTAATGAAAAGGATTTCAAAGTTGTAATAGATTCCTTTCATTTTTTTTTTCCAGTTTTGTAGCCTATTGAATTATTTTGCAAATTTCAAATGGCCTCCAAGTATATTATCTCACAAAACATTAAACAGTATCTATATTATCTTATTAAACAAATTTAGTAAAAGTCTTAAAATACTAAATGACCAAGATACCCTTTATACTTTTTTACCTTTTCACCCTCTCCTCTCTCACATACACTCACCCCCTCACAACGATTTTTTTTAAATTATAATTTTAAATTTATACTTTATACCCCTATAATTAGTTAATTAATTTACTTTACGTCCTTTACTTTTAAATGTTTCATTTTAAACCTTTATCAAATTAACATACATAATCGCATATAAATTAAAACATGTTTAAAAAATACATTTTTAGTTTAACAAGTTACACCATTATAATAATCTCGTTAATACCTTCGAAATAAGTCCAATATTGAATAGTTTTTTTACTTAATTATATTATTATATATTATATATACTGTRAAAAAATATTTTTAATATTTAYGATTTATACTTTTATAGTTATTTATTTACATATATACTATATATTTTGGGGTTAGGCTGTCCAAATTGCACTGTATAATATGTTCTGAATTAATATGTTTTTGGGTTTTTTTGAAATATATATATACATGTATTAATTCAACCTTAATATGAGTTTCTGGACAAGAAAGATGGTAAGCAGTTGAAATTTCATTCTAAAACCCAATTTTTTGGTTTTTTCATGGCTTATGATCTGTCAAATTTGTAGCTTTATTGGTTTTGAGTGTTTATCTTAAAACTCAAGTTTCTTGGTTCTTTGCTCTTGGTGTAAATCGAACACATTTGTGGAGTCGTTTAAATATGTTGGATTTTAAATATATTGGAATTTAAACTGTGATACAATTTTTTTCATCGATAGTCTGTAATTGGAACCATAACTCTTATTTATTCAAATTGTATAAATATGTAAAGACCAAGTGTAACCTATATCATCGTTAAATCTTATCTTATAGAACCAGTAGAACTTCAAAATCGTTAAAATTCATGGCTCCCGTCACATTGCACAGGTACATAACTAGTTATAAAATAAAATGGATTCAAGTGAATCTGGATCAACCTTTGTTTTCGAGAGGCAACACAAGTCTTGATCAAGATCGAGTCTTGAAATGACCGAGCATAAAATGCTAACACAAGAACTAGGGCTAAGATTGACTCGTCATTGGCCCACTTAAAAGTCTGATCATGTGCACATCTGGTTGGCCACGAAGCAAATCATTAAGGTTTTATTTATTATTTATTATTTATTAACAAACATCATGTTTAAGACTTGGGATTATGTGAGACCAACTTGTTTTCGTGAGACCTGTGAGACCAACATTTTACACTTGAAACTTCACAGCAAAATGCTGTGAAGGTGACTTTTTAAAACCTTCACAGTGTTTTTGCTGTGAAGGTTCGACTTTTTTTAAACCTTCACAGTGTTTTTGCTGTGAATGTTACGTGTAAAAATGTGGTCTCACGGGTCTCACGAAAACAAGCTGGTTTCACGTGAACCCAACCCTCATGTTTAAGGTTTTATTTTCATCAGTGCTACCAATTTTTTTTCTAAACCATATCCCCCATTAAATGGCTAATATTCGAACCATATAACAGTAGATGTTTTCATAAAGCTCTTAAAAATAATTGCATCAAAGATGTTGGAATCTATTATTGAAGTACATACATTTATTTTTAAATATGACATTTTCATTTAATATGTACAATAAACTAACAATTCAAATTACAGTTTAGTGAGTGGTATAAGAGTAAATAGTGAGGCATCAAAAAATATATGAAACGTTTGATCTGTTTGATTACTAATCAAATTCGTTAAAATATTTGTTTGCATCGACAAATTTACAAATCAAGGTCAGACAATATACATTTATACGTAAATTTTGAATTTATATTTCAAAGATTTTAAGCGGATGAATATACATTTCTTTTAGTTGCAAATTTCTACTTTTATGAAGTTTAACGACATTAAAATTGACTTAAAACAACATATCAGTTGAAGCAAACTGTTTTTGGTAGGTTCGAACGAATTCGTTACAAATTTGATTTGTAGAATTATTAAATCAAATTTAATTCAGGCCAAGTAAACCTGTAAAATTATAATTCATGGTCTTGAAGTGGACAATAATGGTCTTAATTTCTTGGATTTCTATCTTAAAAGCGGTTCAACAAATGGACAATAATGGTATTCACTTTTTTTTCTTTTTGCAAGAAAAAAGTAGGTGATTACGCTATTTTGTGATGATATTTGGTTAAGAGATTCCTATCCTAAAGTGCAATTTCCAAGGATATATGCGTTGTGACGAGTCGGCATCGGTCCAAGATCAATTGGTCTTGGAGGACTGGGGATTCGTTTTGCGTAGATCGCCGAGAGGGGAGGGAGGGTGGAAGATTCGCAGATGTCAGCTTTATACAAGATTTTAGATACAATCATGATCTCTGATCAAAGAGATAGATGGGTTTCGTCCCTCGATGGTTCGAGTGAGTTTTCGGTGGCTTCCGCTCCTAAGTACATAGACACCAAAATTTTGGTGATAGATCATTCTTCTACTAGAAGGAATCGACTTGTCCCTGTCAAGATTAATGTATTTGCTTGGTGGTTGGGCTTGAAAAAAGTTCCAACTCGATCTTGATAAAAGATGAATTGATGTGCATTCTCTCTTATGTCCCGTTTGCGATTTGGAGATTGAATTGGTGAGTCATTTGTTCTTTACTTGTCAATTGACCCTACATATTTGGAAGTAAGGACTTCACGGGGAGTTACTCATCCAAGTACTTGTTGTTTCTTACATTTAATTTGTTTTTCTAACTTCTTACTAGTTTTTTTTTTTTATAAAATCCCTCTCGTTCAAAAAATAATAAAGAATTTCATGGTAAAATTGGATCATCCGTATGTGGTTGTCACCACTAGGGATGCTCAAAAACCCGACCGCCCGTTCAACCCGATCAACCAAACCCAATCCAACGCGAAATAACTTAATCCAAAGCAACCCGATGTCTAATCGAGTTGTAAAATTGTCAAATCGTAGGTATTGAGTTGATATTGGATTACTATTATTTGAACCCAATTCAACCCGATATTCTTTTATTTATTGGATTTAATATGATTGTTGAATTTATATTAATAATATACATTAGACAATTACACTATCATGTTTGCTTTTCATATACACATATTTTCAATCTATTCACATCTCTATATAGTCATTCGTATATATGTTCAATAATTGTGAACATATATATGTAAATTGAGAAAATTAACTGAATGTGATATACGTAAGAAATATTGATAAGTTGTATCAAATGGTTGATGATGAAAAAGAAATTATGAGTAGAGAAATAACATACTCAAGGTTAAAATGATATTTTAATTTACCAAAGTATCAACCCGACCAACCCGTACGGGTTGGGTTGGGTTATACTTTGGTTTGGGTTGGGTTAAGATTTTCCAAACTGTAAACATTGAGTTGGATTGTTCAAATGTCTTCAATCCGATCAACCCAACCTATAAACACTTCTAGTCACCACTAGTTTTTCCTGCCGCGTGTTTCTTGTTGGGCTTTGCTTGTTTTCTTATTTAATATCTCTTCGCCTCACAAATTTACTTGATAAGCCCATTTCATGTTTATTTTTTATTGCTATTTTACCTATCAGATATCCCATAAATTCCGTATTGTATTTTATGCCTATAATCTATTAGTTACGTAAACATGAATTATTATTTTATTAAAAATTAAAAAGTAATTAAATAAAATAATAATATATATGTATTCACATATAATTGATATGCCAAAAAAAACACGTTGAAATGATTTTAATTCGTCAACTTCACATGTTACCGTTACCGTATAACCGCCTCCGCTTTGCACCTATAAATACTCGAGACGGATAAATTATTTGGCGCCAATTTCATTTGCGCAGACTCTTCCGGAACGCAATTTCTAGGGTTTCGTGCGATTTCTCTACTTATTACTTTCTTCTGTTATTCGTTGAGTTTTTAGTTGATGATTCGCGAAACGTCAATGGCTGAAGCTGTTGATCATCTGAAGACCTTTACATTTCTGTGTAATCGTGCAATTTGATTTGAAAAAAATGAGTAAGCTAGTAGGATTATCAGGCATAAAGAGCCTGGATCAGTTCAAATCCTCGTTAGGATCGTCAAGTTTGGGAGCTGCAAAAACATTCCAGATTTCTTCACGGCAACCTTCCTATTCGAATTCATCAGGAAGTTTCGCCAATTTGAAGCTCACTGCAGGTTTTTGGACGGGGACTTTTGAGTTATTGATTTTTAATGTTTTCAAATATAAATTATGTTCATGTATGTGATGGATTTCCTTCTTATAGAGAAATTGGTCAAAGAGCAAGCTTCGGCGAAAACAGATCTGGACTTAGCGGTATGATGAACGTCTTTCTATCTCCTTCTAAGTATCTCTGTCTCTTACTGTTAATTTGGACGTATTGATGTGTAATTCTGTGTCTCCAATGCTGTAGGTGCTCCATTACAAATATATTTTACTTATAGTAGTGTTTTTTGGAATGTTCAAGGCCGTGTGTGTAATGAATGGTGTGAGTGACTAATGGTGCAGGTTGTGTATACATATATGTATGTATCAATTATGTAAATCATTTTATTTAAATAAAATTTAAAGTACAGGGGAGAAGAACAAATGGCTTAATTCTGAAATAGAAAGTCTTTCATCTTGCACCTTATTTTGTACTATTTGAATAGAACCTCCTGGAACTTGTTGAATAGTGCTACCTTTGGTTTCTCTATGTTTTTAAAGACTACTTTTTGTCTCTGCCCCAGATCACCTAACAGGCCACAGCTGGGACAGTGTGAAACACCTTCTCCTTGTTCCCGGATTTCCATAACCTTAATTGAACTTCAGTGAGGAGGGTAGATTAGCATGACCAGTTCATCCAGTCAAGAATACTACTCCTGCACAGACCATAAATAAGTGGTCCACTGACTCCATACTGATTTTTGTAAATAGAGCATGATCAATCCGGATTAATCGATCATGTTGTCAATGGCTTCCGCCTCATTTGTATATGCCACAGTAAAAACTGAGCCTTGGGGGCGCTATGGACGCCCAAACAATGTCCTCTAGAGTCACAGTTGTCTCATCATTACTATGCATAAGCTGTTTGTACATAAAGCCTAATCCTTTGAGCCTGTGTTTGGGTGTGAAACCTACTCTGATCAAAGATTGCAATGGATGCAGAATTCTAAGCTGAAGAAATTATCAGAGCACATTCTTACTTTGGAAGAAAAGTTGCAGAATGCTTATAATGAAAATGCAAAGCTTAAAGTGAAGCACAAAGAAGACGAGAAACTTTGGAGAGGACTAGAGTCAAAATTCTCTTCTACAAAGACATTATGTGATCAACTTACTAAAACCTTACATCTTTTAGCTGATCAGGTTCAGGATGGTAAGAGGTTTATCATTGATCCTTGATTCTATATCATGAGACAGGTATGAACGTAATTATCATGGTTCTGCTTCCACAGCTGAGAAAGACAAAGTCCTTTTCACAAATAAGCTGTCTGAAACTTCAGTAGCTCTTGACAATCTGCATGGACAATTGAATTCTCTGTCTCTGAGGCTGGAATCATCACAAGAAACTATTAGGACCCGTAAGTTAAATCCCACTGTTTTAAAGTTCAGTAAACTGGTAATCCAATAAGGGCTGCATTTTGTGCTTGTCAAAATTCAGCTTTGTTTCTTTGAATGTGGAATTTTTCTTGTAGGTGACAAGGAGTTGAAGGAACTTGGTGTTGACAAGGAAAACGTAGAGAAAAAACTTAGAGATGAACACTGCAAAGTTGTCAGTCTAACCGATGAAAAAGGTATTGATTAATTTAAAGAGAGGATGTAGAGGCGTGTTCTGTCATTCTACGTTTTGCAGATTGTATCTATGCTAGCAATATTAGAAGACAATAGAAAATGTACGAGTGATGGTTTGATGGTGAGGTGATTGTGCTTGAAATGTGCTTAGTGTTTTTCTTGAAGTATATGATAATATATACAAGAAATACTCACGCACACTCCTCATGAGGTATGATCCCTTGACCTCCAAGGAGGCTAGGATTTACAGTAACCTGTCTACGGCTAGGCCAATAACCCTTTGGTAAATGCAGCTATGTTTCTTGTTATATTCGTAAAATCAGATACATAATGAGTGTAATTAAACTTTATTTCCATGTGTTGGTGTGGGACGTAGTTTAAGATTTAAAATTGTTTCAATCTCAATTTATTTATATTTTGCAGATAATCTGATCAAGAACTTTGAAGAAACTGTAACAGCTAATGAATCAACCATAGAGAGTTTGAACTCTAAAGTGAGAGAGTTGCAACTTGAGCTAAGATCAAAGGAAGGTAGGCTAAATGACATGCATGACTTGAATGAAAAAAAGGAGAGAGAGAATACTGATCTTATAGCAAGTAACAAGAATCTTGCAGAGAATTTAGACAAAGCAATGCAGGAGATTGAGAGTCTAGAAAATTTTGTGAAGTTGCTGACTGTTAAGCTGACAGATTTGGATAGACAAAGTCTAACCTTTTGGGAAAAGGTTATTGAAGTCGAAGCTCTCTTTGCTTCGTGCTTTGAGTTGGTACAAGAGGAAAATAAATTTGCAACACAAAAGGCACAGCAGCATTTTGATCGACTTAACAATAAGTTTTTAATTAGGACATCAGAAAAAGATGCACTCCAGTTGGTCAATCTAGAGTTGAAGAACAAGATCAGTGAGCTCGAGAATGATCAAAAATTCACAATGGCCCAGCATGCGGAAGAATGTCACCTAGCGGAAGAGAAGGTTCGGAGGTTAGAATCTGAAGCAGAAACTCTTCTTTCGAAGAAGGCTGAAACGGATAACCTGATTACCAAATTGGAGGATAAAATTCGATCTTTATCTGAGACTTCTAGATTATCAGAGATACAAATGGTGAACACTCGTCTTATCACTAGAAAGTTTATCAGCATGCTGTTATATTTTTAATTAGTATGTATTGTTAAACATGCAGCAAGATTTTCAGAAAAAGTATTCACAATCTGAAACCGAGAATCAAGAGAGCATCAGAAATCTTCAATCAGAGATACATAAAAAGGAAGAGGACATAGATGCTCTGAAAATGGAGATTGTAAAGCATGAACAGCATGTAGATTCAGTGGAGAAACAACTTAATGAGCTTCATAGCTTACTACAGGAGAAGGAACAGGTTGTTTTGGAATTTAAGGAAAGAGAGAAACTGCTGGAAGATCAAAGAGCAGAGGTTTTTTCTTTTCTTTACTTTTCACGTCTAGAGATGCTATCTTGTACTCTAGCATGACATTATTAAATAATCTGTAGACTCAGAAGTTGCTGGTTGAAGCTGAAGGTAATGTGGCAGACGCTAAGAAGCAATACGATCAGATGTTAGAAAGTAAACAATTAGAACTCTCGAGGCATTTGAAGGAAATTTCTCAGAAGAATGATCAGGTAAGGTCCCTTGTCATTTGTCAACCTTTCAGATGATGAGGCAAACTGACACTGAAGTTATAATAGGCTATTAATGATATTCGAAGGAAGTATGAAGTGGAGAAACAGGAATGCTTGAATCTTGAGAAAGAAAAGGTTGGCCGTTTAATATCTTCTGCCAGAGTTTTTTGAAGTATATCTCATTTATACACAGAAAAACTCACACACATTCCTCACCTTTTGTAACTTGAACCCTTGGCCTCCAGGAAGGGAAGGTTGGGGTTCTAGCACCCGGATACCACTGGGCCAATAACCCTTTGGTTTTTGTTCACTGGTTTGATAGATCTTTGGATCATACATATGTATTTTTTATTCTCAGGCTGAAAAAGCAGTTATAGATATGGAAAAGAAATGTGACAAAAAGCTTTCAGAATGTAAAGAGGAATCAAAACAGCAACTGATGCAGATAGAGAGAGAACACACTGCTTTGGTATGTATGGGAAATACGCTTCAACTTAAGCAAGAAAACTATTGTTAGTGTATTGGTTGAAACTATAAAACTTGTTTATACGAACTTACTAATTGACATTGTATATTTAAGGTAGATTACTAGGAATTAAGCCTTGTTTGTGCTGATTTTGTAGGTGAATAGAATACGGGAAAATGATAAGACGGAAGAAAATCTAAAATCTAATCATTGTGAAGAGTTAAAAAGGGTGCAACTCCAGGCCGAGAATGAATTTAGAGAGGTAAATCCTTATCTGTGGCTGAAGTCTAAGCCAAATTGCTAACTTGCCACTTTATCTAGAAAACAAAGTTGCTCAAGAATCAACATGAAGCTGAGTTAAGGGAATTGAGGTCTCAACATGAAGAGGAGTGTAGGCATCTTGAAGAGGAGCTAAATATCCAGAAGAACAGGGTATGCATACTTCTTTTTTGTTTTCTTTATAATTTTCAAAAGGACTAGCTCTACCTCTTTCTATACCCAACAAGATGGCTGTTTATCACAGGAGGAGAGGCAGAGGGCTCTGTTGCAGTTGCAATGGAAAGTAATGGGCGATGAGCCCCAAGAAGACCAAGAAGTGACCTCCAAAAAGGTCTGTATAGAAATATAGACAAACAATTAAACGACAGCAATGATGTACTTAAAAATCTACACCATGCATACTTGCATATAGTCTGTTTACTATCTGCTGACTGCCTCTTACTGGCCCGGTAAGAAGGGATGTTGTTTTCTAACACACTCAGACCCACAAAAATACATCGACCTAGATGCTAACCCATAAGGAATGGATAACTTTCTGACTTGGTCAATGCTTCAGTCAGCGTTTACCAAGACACTTGGTAAACAGCCATTTTCAGTCAACACTTGCCCCCGACATAACCTCTTACTCGGTTAATGCTTACACAATGTGTGGGTAAATGGCTCTAAATGAGCACACAAAGAGACAATCTATCTCCCTGCAATCGTTTTTTTTCCAATGACTTTGTGTGCTGATAAACGTGCACACACACATTGGTTGCAAATGCCTTAAGAACTGTAATTTTTAATATATTTCCAGTAGGCTTTGTGAAAGCTTGCCTAAATACGGAATTGGTGCTCGTATAAAATTGTTAAAAGAATTCGTGCGACTCCTAAGATCAGCCTTGGAACAAGTACTTCCATAATATTCAATCAATTAGTGAGTTATTCTTTTATTGCAGAACTACACTACAAGTAAGTTGAGAAATCCTGATGATGCCAGAAGAAGCAGTCACACTCTGGTTAGAAGAGAAGATGGAAAAATGGTGATATAGGAAGTGCATGTCATCTACTATGATCCATTACATCAATATGCGTATTATTCTTATGATCTCTCTTCTCTTTTTCTTGTTTGTAGGATTCGCCCTACATTAATGTAACACAATCACCAGTGTCAAACATGTTGAAAAAAGCAGAGAAGACAAAAACAGGAAGTGTTATTAGCATTCCCAAGCATAGTAAAAAGGTGAAATACTCTCTCATCTACATCTACACATAATGAATCTTGCATCTCATTATAGAGACACTTACCAATTGACTTGGGATCGTGTAATAAAAAGGCGGACCCTTCACAGTAAAAAACACAAAACTTTCACATGAAAAGACCGAGCCTTCACAGTAAAAACACAAAACATTCACATGAAAAAGACCGAACCTTTAGATGAAAAACCAAAGAGACCTTCGTAGGAAAAACACACAAAACCTTCACATGGAGCACATACGATGAAACCATCACAATAGTCTCAACGAAAACTGGGTCGTCTTACGGGAACTCAACCTGTGACCAACTAGACCTCTGCATATCACTGAAAATGTGCGAATCATACAGAAAGAAAAAATAAATCTGGTTTAACATGCTGCTAGTTTAGTTGGTTTTTCAATAATTGGGATTTTGTGGATTTCAAAGAGCGACGTATACCATACCTACATGTTAAAATTTTGCAATAACCAAAGAAGGTCAGTATAACCCATTTGAGGGTGGGTCGAGGGGAGAGGGCCGCCCATGGGGGGTAAAGAGTTTGGTTAAACATAAAGTTCGGTTAGTTCTTGTTTACTGAACTTAAACTGAACCTCAAGGGTTCAATTAGTTAGTTCTTTTTTTTTTATTAACCTGGATATCCAACCCACTACGCGAGCCGACTAATCCCAGGGCGACCACCTACTTTGCGGGTAGCCCGGAGTAACCGCATTTGAACCTCCGTGACTACAAGGGGATTTTTATTTCTCCTTGGATTTAGTTCTTTATGGTCTGTTATGATGGAAATGGCAGGTAACCCACCATGAATATGAAGTTGAAACATCCCATGGTAGAACAATCACAAAGCGCCGAAAGACCAAAAGTACAATCATGTTTCAGGTATTTTACTCCCATCTGAAAGCAAATGCTGTCACATCTGTGTTTATTTATTGACATTTAGTTTTTACTTTTTTCTGGAAGGATCCAACAAAGAACAAGAGACGAACACCAAAAGCCAATACCCCTAGAGATGTTATCAAGGTAACTATAACTCAGAATTACCCATTCTCTATGGATTTCTTCTTTCATCACTCTGTCGGTCTCGTTATATAAAAACAAATGAAGAGGTGACCAAGAAATAGAGATGATAAACAGAAGAAATTGTGCAAAAACAACCGATTCAGCTTGTGTTTTAATCTCAATTATCAATGTTTACTGGTTTGTATATAGTTAACACTTGTAATGTAAATTTGAACAGCGAATTAAGGGAGGGAATCAACAGAATCCTCCGAATATAGGCGATCTATTCTCAGAAGGATCATTGAATCCATATGCAGATGATCCTTATGCATTTGACTAGAGAGGTAATGTCTGAAACCAACCTTATTCTTTTTACGTGTTCATAAAGTTTTTAAGTTATAAAATGTTTGACATGCTAATCATTTTAAAGTTACAACCTAAACAATTCTTTTTGAATAGCAACTAATTTGACACTTGAAAGATACATATAGTTTTTGAGATGGAGGGACTTAATTCTTAAGGATTACATCTTCTTTTTCTATTCCCATTTTAGATATTATCACTCTTTTGGTCATTATTTCTCGAACTAAATTTCCAAAACAAAGAAAAACACTCCAAGGGTCTATTTATTAGAATTTATTCTGTTTTCTTATGCTTGTGGAATAGGTTCTTATCTGGTTCTGCACCAGACATGTAGCAGTAAGCAGAAGTTGTGGATCTTCCATTCAACCGGTGGTCTTGACTGCCGTAATGAACCCCCTGCTGTTAAATGACTAGTAAGCGCTTTCTTTGTACAAACTACTGACATATTGTAATGGAGACGGTAAACGCAATTCTGTATGGGAACGGGAATGTACATATAGTTACAATTCAACTTTTTGATATCTGCCAAAAATGCCACTAATTGATCCGAGGCATCGGTATATATTTCTGTATAATGTCCTTACTGCCATGCTTCATGTATGCAACATATGATATGCCTTATTACAACTCTTGCTCTACGTGCAGTTTAAACTGGTTCAGACATCCTCCATTGTTAAACCGAAAATAACATGAGTATTCTATTCGAAAACACTTGTAGAATTATTGCCGTCAACTTATAGCAGCAGACAAATGGTACAGTGAAAGAATATCAACTTTAGATCATATGAATGAGAAATGCCAACCCCCTTTAAGATGTTTTATTTACCCTATGGTACGTAAGTATTCAAAAATAGTTGGTTTAATTAGTTTTCATGTGGGGTTGCTAAATTGAAATTTATTAATTATGTACGTTAACCCTGAATAATTAAGTAATTGTATCATGGTGTAATTCTCATATCGACTAGACTTTGATCATTTATCCTCAATATATGTTGGAACCTTGTTTATTTTCTTAAGGACTCTTTTGGAGATTAATATGGGGACCCACATATTCTCACGATATATAGAGAGAGCATGAGACACGCTGTGAAGGTTTACATACAAACTATATATGACCAATTTGTGTGTGCTTCATGTGAATGTTTGATGTGTTTTTCTTGTGCAAATTTTCATAACTAGAAAACTGGGTATTTTAGGCGAAATAATATCCGCCGGAAAATTACCGGCAGACAACAAAAAAGTCAACTTTCGTTGACTTCCGCCGGTAAAAATATTCCGCCAATATTTCCCGCGGATTTTACAATTTTTTTTTTTAATAAAAGTATTAACTCTAACTACAATAATTTACCAGCGGATTTCCTAAGGATTTTTTATTAATATTTTAAGATTAACGTCCACCGGAAAATAATTAAAAATTGAAATTTATTTTCTTAAATTTCCGGCGGATTCCGGAAGCCGCCGGTAATCCGATAAAAATTATTCAAGATTTAAAAAAAAAACTTAATACTTTCCGACGGTTGATTTTTTTCCATTTTTCAAATTTCTTTTTATACATATGTAAAATATTACATATATTCTTAATGAATTGTATTGGACTTTAATGAATCGTATGTGACATTAAAGAAACGTATTGGGCTTTAAAGAATCATGTTAGGCATTAATGGACCATACTGGGTTTTAATGGATTGTATTGAGTTTTAATGCATCGTATTGGCCTTTAGATGATCGTATTGGACTTTAATGGATTATATTGGGCTTTAATGATCGTATTGAGCTTTAGTGGATCGTATCTTGGTTCCTTCTTCCATAACGTGAGCTCGGAGAAGGAAGAGACCTTTTTATTTAGTATTTATCTTAAATGAGTGAACCATTACACATAGTATGCCTACTGAGGAACAACGGAAGATTCGATCTCATAGAGTTCCATTCTCGTTATTAACCCATGACCAATATGCTTTTGGGGGGAGAGATACTATTTCAGAATAGGCCTGCTAATATGCCCAAAGTCCCCGCTGCAATATGATGAGAGACTATTCCTCCCGTAACAAAAGGATCAAATTGGCCAAAGGTGTGCGTTCATGAGCCCATGCAAAAAATCGTAGCAATTGGATGTCCAATTCGGGCCTATATGGCATGACCGATAAAGAAGATGAAAATATTCTCATTATAAACTGAGTAGGGTTAGTGTTTTTACAAGAAATCTCTAGCCAACCTTCCTGCAAGAGGATACACTTGGACCAAAAAAACCTCTGCCCAAAAATAGAATTCAACCACCATCTTTTCATAGAGTTTTCTTGCTCCATATTTGCATGAGGCAAAATGCCTAATATTTATAATGCTCTGGTAGTTAAGAGTCGAGATTGGGCTTTAATGGATCACATAGGGCTTTAAAGGATTATACTGGGCTTTAAAGGATCGTATTGGGTATTAATTGATCGTATTGGGCTTTAAAAGATCATATTGGGATTTAGTGGACCGTATTGGGCATTAATGAATCATATTGGGCTTTAATGCCTCATATTGGGCTTTAAAGGATCCTATTGAGCTTTAGTGGACCGTATTAGGGCTTTAGAGGATTGTATTGTGCTTTAACAGATCTTATTGGGCTTTAATGGTTTTATTGGCTCTAATGAATCGTATTGGGTTTTAATGCATCATATTGGGCTTTAAAGGATCGTATTGGGCTTTAGTGGACCGTATTGGGCATTAATGGACCATATTGGGCTTTAGTGGATCGTATTGGGCTTTAATGCATCGTATTGGGTTTTGAACGATCATATTGGGCCTTAATGGATCGTAATGGGCTTTAAATGATCGTATTGGGCATTAATGGACCATATTGGGGTTTAATTAATCGTATTAGACTTTAATGCATCGTATTGAGTTTTAAAGGATCGTATTGAGCTTTAATAAACCATATTGGGTTTTAAAGGATCGTATTGGGCTTTAATGCATTATATTAGACTTTAAAGAATCGTAGTGGGCTTTAATGGATCGTATTGGGCTTTAACGGATCGTATTGGGTTTTAACGGTTCTATTGGGCTTTAAAGGATCTTATTGGGTTTTAATGGATTGTATTGGGTTTTAATGGAATATATTAGGCTTTAATTGATCTATTGGGCTTTAAAGGATCGTATTGAGTATTAATGGAACGTGTTGGGTTTTAATGGACGTTAGTTGAGATTTAACGGATCTATTGGGCTTGAATGGATCATATTAGATTTGGTAGATCGTATTAGGCTTTAATGGAGCGTATTGGACTTTAATGCATCGTATTGGACTTTAACGGTTCTATTGAGCTTTAATGGATCATTATGGGATTTAATTGATCTATTGGGCTTCAATGGATCGTATTGAGCTTCAAAGGTTTTATTGGGCTTTAATGGATTGTATTGAGCTTTAATGGACCGTGTTGGGTTTTAATGGATCAAATAATTATAATAATAATAATAATAATATAAATTTTAATAATAATTTCAATAATAAAAATAATTTTAATAATAATAATTCTAATAATAATATTTTTAGTGGTAATATAATAATAATAATAATAATAATAATAATAAT